GGCATCTCCAAAGACGGTCCCTATTGTCTTCGTCTCGATCGGATCACCAGTAGCAGTCCCAGTTCCATGGCACTCTACAAATGCTGTCTCGGAAATGTTCGAAATTCCAGCAGCCTCATATGCCCTCCTAATCATTGCTTCGTGACTATCGAAACTCGGCATAGTCAGACTGGGGGTTTTACCATCGGCATTGCTTGATGTTCCTCGAATGATTGCGCGGATGGGATTTCCATCACGCAGAGCATCACTTAGTTTCTTGATATAAACTAAATTGACAGCTTCTGCACGGGCGTAGCCGTCTGCGTCAGCATCAAAAGTCCTGCAGGAACCAGTTGGGGACAACACCCCCTGCTCTGACATGCTGACGAAAGTACCAGGAGCCAAAATAAGGTTTGATCCTCCTACCAAAGCTGCAGAACATTCGCCGCTTTGGATAGAGAGGCAAGCCTGGTGAAGGCCAATCAGAGCTGACGAACATGCTGTGCGGATGGTCATGCTCGGACCCTGAAGGTCGTACTCATACGAAATCCGATTTGACAACAGGAACTCTCCGTATCCTGTTATTTTATACTGTCCAACGATCTCGTTGTCTTTGGCAAAACTTTCCAGCCAGTCCTCTCCAAACGCTCCAATATATGTACCAATTGGCTTGCCACGATAGTCAACCTCTCCAGCGCTATCAAGGCATTCTCGTGTCAACTCGAGGAGCAATCGTTGTTGTGGATCAACACGCTCTACTTCAGAGCGCGGCATACGAAAGAAACTTGTGTCAAGGGCTCCGACATCAACCGAATCGTCAAGAAAATAGCCATACTGCGTTTTCATGCGACCAGGTTTCCCGGATTTTGAGTAATAACTCGAAACATTGAACCGCGATTCCGGTACCAATCCCCGTGCATCCTGCTTATTGACAAGAAGATCCCAAAACTGAGACGGCGTTGCCACTCCACCCGGCAGTCTCAATGCAATTCCGCATACGGCAATAGGCTCTGTATTTCTAATATTCGCTGCAGTATCGGCGCCGTTGAGCTGTAGGTCGAATTTAACCTGAGAGGCAACTTTAATACACTGCAGGCACATACCAAAACCAAAAACTCACCTGAGATTCAGACGCTTCAGAGAAAGGCGACATGGTGTAGATATTCAGGGAACGATGGGCATGACTTTCAGGAAGGTTGTTCGGGCGTCAACAATTTGGAAATGTGGTTGTACTCAGACAATGACAGAAGATTCACCGCATAAAAAAGACAGCTTGCATTCAAGTGGTCTTACAGATCGTCACTGGCCGTCATAGATAGCTACAGGCTAAGGCAGTACACAAGACACTGTACGTCCGTATGGGTATCTACGCTTTGTAAAATACCTTCGAGATAAGCACACGCGGGGCATCAGCGCAGTAGATCTAATCCGAATGCAGTCTCTCGTGTCCATTGATGCTTTGGTTCCAATCCTTCTTAGTCAAGTGCTGATGTCGCAATCCACTCGGGTAGATCTGATAGGAGCTTATCGTATCAATGGTTCAAGAACGAAAGCTGAAAGTTTTAGTAGTTGGAAGAAAGTGAGTGCATGCAACTACAGGCATATCGCGGCCGCAGATAAGCGTTAAGCTCGATATAGGTGGCTGTAAAAGTTAGATTCACCTTAAATCCTACGTCTGCAAGGTGATGTCTGCAGGATCATGCTGCTGACGGATTCATAATGCATTTCAGCTCGGGAAATCTGACTCTAAATCGGCCTAATGGAATCATCTATCGCTGCACAAGCTGATTAACCTTGGCAGCACAGAGATGGACAAACATGTAATCCCCAATTGTGCTTCTCAATTACGGGCATGGATCTAGTCACCTACAAATAGTAACAAAACTTTCAAGGGTGTGTTTGTCTAATCGAGCCTATTTTTGTGCACATTCAAGGCAGAAAACGAATAAAGAATCTGTTCAAGCGGGACGAGTTCTGCAAAGTGGGCCGTTCTGAGTAGGCAATCCGTCGAGAGTCACCACATGCCAAGCCTCACTGCCAACTGTTGTTGGAGCCCAGAACAGACCCCATGGATCTACCTCCTTTTTGATCTCAAGAAGCCGCTTATAATTGGTCCCGAAAAAGCTCTGTTGCCAGTCTGGCTCTAGTACATCAGCTTCGTTAATATAGGCTCCAGCTCCAGGGGTCACCGCTCGAATCTTTTCCATGTAGCTATCAAGCAGCTGATGACGTTCCAGGAAATCCTGCGGCGATTGAGCTGTTATTGGGCCAGGCGCGTAGACGGTTGCATGCATTAGTGTCTGACGAAAAGCAGGATTAACCGCATTATTGCCCGGATAACCTGCGATCGCGATCGTTGGCGAGTAATTGATGCCGTTGAACGGAAGCCCTGCCTCAACCGCCTCACGTATGACGGAAACTGTAGTATTAAAAAGCGCTTTGTCATCCCAATTGGCTCGGGGAAATAGCCGTGACGCGAATAACGTGTTGAAGGGCACATCGCCTGCACCGTTTCCTATCGACGCATAGGGTATGGCAAATGCTGCTGGGTCACTTATATTGATCCCGATAGAGCGAAATGAAGATATGAGTGGGTTTATGAAGCCGCTTATGCCAGTGGCGTCCATCCCAGGCACAATAATACTGCTCGTTAGAAGATAGCTCTGGTTTCCCAGATTGGTGAGGTAACCAAATGAAAGACCGCCGGCATCGCATACCTTCTCCCCAAACACCAAGAACAAGCTGTAAGCTTGCCAAAAGGTCTCGATGTTACTAACATTGACAGGTGGTTCGGTCTGAAATACTCCGTTTGATGAGTCTCCTGGCTTCACAGGTCCTACGGACAGAGAGTAGGATGCGAAGCCACTATCTAATGAGCCAGGATAGGCTCTGAATATCGCCGAAGTCACAATCCCGTAGGTGCCTGAAGATTATGTCAGTGATATAAGTCTCGTTTGGAGTTGGGAACCGATAGCAAAGTGGGATGTTAACTTACTACCACCACCACCTCTTAAAGCAAAGAAAAGATCCTGATTTGTGTTCACGTCCGCTGTCAGTAAAGTGCCATTTGCAGTTATGACATTGATTGATAATGCTTGGTCAGAACCAAGTTCATAATAGGATGTTAGCCCCGAATGCCCACCACCAGCAAGCCATCCACCGGCAGCTCCAACAGAATAGTCTCCAGGGGCGACAAATGTTATGTTGTTCGCTACCATGGCGTTATAGCATTCAAAAGCCTCGACACCCGCCCCAATCTTTACAGCTAATCCATGATACTCTCCGATGCTATAATCAGACAATACTTCGAGGTCTTTAAGGTAATGAGTCCAGACGCTCAAAGATGCGCGACCAGTTGATCTTCCCACGAAATCATGTCCAGTATTCCTATCACCGAGTTAGTGTCCAGTGCTTCTTATGGCGCCACTGATAGCACTTTTCTAGCAACTGAGTCTTCGATTACTTTATGTTCAACCGGATATTCTTGTTTCTTGCGAAGTTGATGGCCAATTGAATGTCCTTCACCGTTGTAGCATTAACTACGTAAAACGGGTATCCTCCTCTGTTGCAATTATCTTCAGGATTTAGAGTCGCTGGGCAGGTGTCTCCTTCAGCCCATTGAGTAAGAACTGCGAGAGGATCGTTTAGATAAAAACGAGTGGTGTTTACTGGCCCCAAAAGAAAATTGCACTGAGTCTCGTTGTAATGTGGTCCTGAGTAGCACACGGATTCCGCAGGGAAAGGGTGTAGCAGACGGCCCCCTAGAGATTGATTGAAGCGTGCCCATTCATGGAATGTCGGCCAACCGTCATCACCAGGCTCTAATTTGCATGGAGGGCCAGCATAGACATTTGGGACTGAAGATGAGTTGCCAAAGGCAATGCCAGGTAAGCTAGTGGCGACATCTTCTTCAAGTTGAATCTCCTCAAAGGGGAAGTTGATAGTAACGCTTCCGGCCACTAAGGTAAGAACCGATAAAAAAATCAGAGCAGTGACCATGGCGACGAGCTTCAAAAAGTTGTGTTGTACGTGAAGGATGCCGTGCCAGGGCCAGGCCCAACGTCGCAACGCGTGAAACTTTATAAGCAGATCTTTAAATAGCCTCGGATTCTATCTACGACTTTTTTCGGGTTCAAAGAGTGTTGGAGAATTTTATGTGTCAGCAAGATGTACGGTACCAAACTTCTCGAAGCAGTGCCATGCACAATCCGCATTTGAGGGTTGTAGGAGTGGGTGGGTAAGCATGCGACCTGCATTCACTACATACTATAACAATGCGCTCTCTATAAGTCACAGAACCAAGAAGTTGAACAACGAATTGACTTCAATGAGACTCTTACCCCTCACTTATCAGATATTACCATGCACTGCAAGGTGTGAGCAATAAAAGTGCTTGCAGCCAACATCGATGCAAGCCCGGCAAGCCCACCGCAAATGAAGACGTCGGGAATCCTGGTTCAAGTGAACTGTTGCCAGGCACTATCGGCTGGGTATCCTGGTAGACCTGGGGAAGCGGAGAGGTGGTCTGGGTAGGATTGCGCCGTTAGGCACCCAGATTCGTACCTCATTCGTTGCCATAAGCGTCCACTGCATTCTCATTCTAATATTGCAACGATGACCGGGAAACTGGCAAGGGTTGCATAGAGGAATCACACACACAATAGATTCCTGGTATTCGGGTAAAGTCTTACGTACAAATGGCTTTCCACTCCAGCTTCTATCTGCCGGCTCTACTCTCTGGCCAGGGTCATAAACGTTAATCCCTCAGCAGCCGCAGTACTAAATGATGAGAGTTATGACACTATTGGTGTCTCAAAGCCTCTATTCATTACTAAAGATCTACCAGCTTTGTGAAGGTAGTCACCTCCCTTTGAAGAGGCAATGATACCCTTGCTGATCTAACATTTGTTATCCAGATGCCATGTGCAATTCGGCTTCACCCTCCATGCCAGCATTCTTATGAGAACAAAAGTCGAGATGAAAAAGATTAGCGCAACCTTGATTGAATCTTAGATATTTTCTCAAGAAGATTCTCCAACAGTAACGTTCATGATCGTGCATCCGCTACTCGAGGCTGTATTTGTACCATCGAGAACGCCACTCAGCCAAGCAAGAGCTCTCGGCTGACCATTTGTCATCTCACCAACGTGATCTCCAATGGTATTGCGCTCATAGTGAATGTTTGTGTGAACGCCACAATACCTAGCGACGAGGTTGTCGGTCAGCTCGATTCGAGCGACTTGATCGTGGATAGCGTGATACATGAACAGTCGCATCTTAGGCACTCCATGGTAGCTCATATAGAAATTGTCATCAAGAACCCGCTGAATGACCGGAGCACCCAGCACAGCTCGTCCATTGATAAAATAATCCCACATGTCTTGGCCTGCGAAAGTCGCAAAACCTTCGTATGCGCCCATCTTTGCCGCACTCATATAAGTGGTCCTGTTGTACTCTCCTTCAGGCTTGAGCTGACTTATTAGGTATTTATGTGCATCCGGAAACTGCTGTGTGACTCCAATGGATGCCAGAGCGATCATACCAGCAAAAGGAGTGCCGTTGACCGAGTCCCAGACATTGGTGATGTTTGGAGGCGTTCCACCAAGCGCGGTACCGCTGAAGCTGAGCTCTGGAGCGTACTGCTCTTGTAACTCAGCAGCCCATTCACTGGCCAATGCACCGCCGGAGTATCCCCACATGGCATACCGTGCGTTGCTTGAAAGCCCAAAGCCTGTGGAGAGGACTGCACGCACGGAGTCTAAAGTTGCAAGACCTTGACCAAGAGTGGCACCATCCGCGGCTAACGGTCCCTCATGATCCGGGACGCTCACGTATAATCCCAGTCCGAGTGCTTCGCCAACATCACCGGAGGGCTCAAAATAGAAGTCGTAGCTAGGACTATGATCGAGGTCAGGTGAGTTGTAGGGATACTGATAAGACAGCAGTGATTTGCCCGCTGAATGCTCTGGAATGTAAAGGGTGGTAACTGCCCATGAAGGCTGGAACAGAGCATTGGTCGTACGGTATAGGATATGGTAGGCCGCCGAGCAGTTTCCAATCACAGACGTCAGATTACCCGGCACGCTGCGGATACGCAGGACAGTTCCCGGCTTCATGGTCTCAAATGCTGGGGGAGCCGTGTAGAACGGGTCCTGAGATGGAGGTAATGGTCCAGTTGAATTAGTGAGACATCTGCGCTCAACGGCTCGAGATAAAGTTGGCTTTGATGAAGACATAGCGAAGAGGCTCCCAAGGGCCAACAAAGTTTTGAACAATTTTGCCATGGCTGGGAAGCTGAAGAGTGACGGATGACACGATGCCGACTGCAGGGTGAACATTGGTGATATGGCTTATTATATAGTCACATTTTGAAGAATTGGCCGGTTTCGGACTGACATCGTTTCCTACTCCGAAGTCATCATCAAGGCTTGAAGCTAGAGACTGGAGTTGAATCCTGAAGCGAAATCAGGTTAGTTCGGGGGCGTAGACAAACCGCGTGGAGACAAAATCAAAGCACAATATGAAGCTAACCATACGTCGGAACTATTTCAACAGCAGTGGCTCTAGCACCAAATAGTTCGAAAGATGCCATGACGTAGATTTCATCAATCTCATGTCAAAAGCCGCCGGAAAACTAGTTGGACCGGGCCAAAAGGGGGATGACATTCTATTCTGGTCTCCGTTAAGTCCGGATGCCGGGTGCCCACCTACGCTAACCACCTTTCGCTTTCAGTAGACGCTTTGCCCTGTTGCGCATTGGGAGAAAGTGTGATTGGCCAAACTATACCACCGGTCAAATTTGTAAGTCGTTGGCGGAACATATCGCGAACCTGATGACTAGTGAGCTCAAACGTGAATGATATTGTGGATTAACGATGAAATGCGGCGGAAGGATGAACCACATGTCCGCCATGGTCGACGCTGTGGTCACCTATATAAGAACAACGCAAGAGCTACTCATCTTAAGTCCATATACAACACAAATTCAAACTCCTTCATGATCTCACAACTTCTGAGTATCCTATCCTCCATTTTCGAATCCGCATCTTAACGCAAACATGTGTGTCTTTGTTACCGGCACATCAGGCTTCATTGGCCAAGCCGTTGTCAATGAGCTCATCCAAGCTGGCCACAGGGTCGTAGGTCTGGCTCAATCCGATAAATCAGCCCAACTTATTTAAGTGCCCTAAGATCAAACGGTTGGTTTAAGGACGGACAAGTATATTTCGATTTGGTGGAACCACCAACCAGTCCCTCTACATAGTACATTCTTGTGCCCGTTTGAACACCTCCCTAGGGTATACCAACAGCGCCAGGATGCCATCATTATCCGAACAGAATGTCTCCAGATAAATGCAAATAGCGAAGCCCTCCACAATAGAGCGCTTGCGTTGCCACCAAGACGCCGACATGGTCATCTTTGCATACCAATAGCACAGCAGCAGCAATGCACGCGGCTCCTTCTTCTCCAGGAGACATTTATATCTGGCATCGATCTGGCCGACAAAGCTGAGGAATCGATAAACAGTGCTTTCATCCACATTCTCGTAAAATATTTGTGCAAGAATGGAGGCGGCGACATGATAAGGGTTGTCGGCTTGTGTTGAGTTGTATGACAGGGCGAAGACTGAGAAGAAGAAAGGAGGTGAAGACCCCCAAAGGATCGGCGCTTGTCCTGAGGGCACATTGGGGTAAGTCATCTCGGTGACTAAGGGATGGATGACACTTTCTTTCCTGGCTGGATCTGTGATTTCCCATATGACCTGCTTGCCATGGCCCATCTTGAGCCAGTCTAGGTCCATTAGCCCAGTACCTTTCATTGGCCAAACTTCGTAGAATTTCGATGTCTCAATATTAGCAAATGCTGCAGTACCAAGCAGCGTAGAGGCTGCCCACAGAGCGTCGCGGCCCGTTGATGACAGGGTTTCGTGGGCTCTGGACAGCAATTAGTTGAAGAGAGCTGTGCCGTGGTACCAATGGAAAGCAAGAGCCGAGCGATGGGCTGGGGCAGAGTTTAGACGGTCATGATGCAAACCCATCGACGTGTGAACAAAATCGGCACTAGAGAAATGTCTCCCAAATATTATAGGGATAGAACCTCTCATCTTTGGAAAATGCACAGGATCTACTCAAGAGCCCAAGTCTATTGCTCACATGGAATATGACCGAGTCCTTTCATTTCGGCCTCATGTAATGAAGGTACCCCAAGCACAGCGTATGGACAAGGGATTTCGATTTCTAGCGGCTCGAGGAAAATTGGGTGCTACTTAGCTCACTACCCGCCGCTACAGCCTCGACCGTTGTCGTCACTTCTTTCCCCGCAATCCTTCCATCCTTCGCTCCTGCTAACTAACCAACCCTTCTGATCTGGATACTTCACCATGATTACGTTGCCTCGCTCCCCTTTCCCTTTGGGCAGGAACCGTGGCGTTTTCACGAGCCGCGGCAGGATCATCAGATTATATGCTAGCATATCTTTCCTAATTTCCGATCTTTGCATACCTTTTAGGCCAAAGACTACCCTGCAGCCACAGCTTTAGCTTCAGTGAAATCTGAATTGCGGACTAATTGACATGACGCCGCCTGCTATCGGACGCCTGTTCGGCAGCGGTGGGAAGACAAAGCCGAAGGCAAAATCGACGCGAGCCTTGCGGCGCCAAAACCCAGCGCGTCCGTGTCCGATAGCGATGCTCTCGGAGGACATCGTCTTGAACATCTTCGATTTCGTGCAGGCAGCCAGCCCGCGAAGTGCAGCGGACCTCGCCCTGGTGCACCCGCGCTTCTACCGCCAGGCTCGATATGTGCAGCACCGACGCGTGGCCATCGACCTGGACAATAAGCATGAGGTGGCAGCGAAACGTCTCAACCTCATTGAAAAGGATGAAGGCTTTCTTCCCGCTATTCACGAGCTTCGCGTGCTTAGTCGCTACGGCAAACCAGACGCGCAGTGTCTTCAGCGGCTGGCGGCCATGGTCCCCGGAATGACGGGCCTCCGCTCTGTGCACTGGGAGTATACCCCTATTCCGGCCGCGCTGCTTGAGAGCCTAACAAGGCTGCCTTTCCCTGTGCGGCTTCACGTTGTTGTACGAGACAAGAAGAGCCGCGACCCGGCGGCCAGACAGCTTCTCGCCCGACTTACTGGTTGTGGCGTTTTAGCATCGGTCACACTAGAGGCAGCCTATCTGGGCGCCGCCGACTGCCTTGAGCTGTCCCGGCCGCTCAAGCAGCTCTTGCTCACGAGCCCCAATCTCGTCGATTTGTCACTCGATCTGCACCTCCCTCGGCAAGGCTGTGTCGGCTACGCTGCGCCGGTCGAGTATCCAGGTCTCGGCTTTTCCAGCAGCGAGCGCCCGCTGCGCCCGTTGGAGTCTCTGACCATACATGAATACCCCTGGGGAGAGGAGGAAGTGCAAGGCCGCTTCGCTTTCCACTCCCAGGGCTACCCAGGCACGGGCCATGAGATTGACTATTGGGCTGCGAACTTCAACTGGTCGACGCTAAAGCGATTAGAGGTCACCTCGCCATCTACCCAGGTCCTCTTTGCCATTACATTGGCCCCAATGCTGACGGCGCTTCGGGAGGTGCGCTTCACGTCCGCCCGCGACTCACGCGGCAACTCGCTCGAGACGTTCTTTAACAGTGTACCGTCAATCTTAGAGGATATCAGCGTGCCTAGCTTAGACTCCATCGGCGTGGTGGCCCTTGCCCGTCACGCGCCGAGCTTGCGCAGGCTCACAGTGCACCAGCCCGAGGCGTCGTCCGCGAGTGCGTGGGAAGAGCATCTCCTCCCGGAGGGGGCGCTGGGTGAACTTCATAAGAAAGCCCCTCACCTTGAGGAGCTGGGCCTCGATATGCTGCGGGTCGGCGGCGACTGGCCGCGTGGCCAGCTCGATGCATTGGCACGATTCTGTCATCTCCGCGTATTGGAGCTGTGGTTTGGATTCGGTGACTGGAAGTTCTCCGGCCCGCCGCAACCTGCCCTCACCGCATCGGCGGCAGCGCAGCTGTTCACCGACCTACGCCACTCTATCCCGACTCTGCAGCGATTGCGCGTACACTCGGGCTGCCCGCCGCCTCCGGGAATTGGGATGCTAGCCGACTCTGCGTTCTACCCTGAGGACAACAGCGCGAGCTTCGATTGTCGCATCCCCGAGCGAGACGACGATGCTGCGGCTGGGGAAGTCGCCGTCACTAGCTTTAGGCTTAGCCCACGGCTGAATGCGCGGATGCAGAGGATTCTTAAGGGCATTGAAAAAAGGGAAGATGTCCAAGGGAACTTGATCGCGCTACAAGTCGCTCTCGATGGACCGATGCAATATGCGGATTGGGGACGATGGAGAAAGGAATGGCCCATCCCGAACTTTCCTGCACTTATGGATGCGGCCGAAGGGAGGAACCAAGACAACAATTCAACTTCACGAGGTCGCTTGTACAGATTGTTGCGTCGGTGAAAAGAGATGCTTTCTTGTGTGGAAAGGAGCAACTCGCTTGTTCTGTTTTGCTAGTCTGTTCTAAAACATGTACTGGAGCTCCTCTGTTCTCTAATTCCTACACTTAAATGTAGAATCCCCTAGCTGCCATCGTCACCTACCGGCTTTCTTTCCTCGTCACGGAGACCAACCTAAGTGGCTAGCAAAGTCCATCTGCATGGCACCAGCAGCTGACATAGGTGGGCCCACCAAGGCTCCTGCGGCGCGTCTCTGAGCAATTGTTAGGCGTGGCCTATCGAGGCCGAGGCTACGCTTCTTGCTTGGAGGAGCGGAGGCGCCGGGCGGCTTGGGCGCTCCCCAGCGAGTGCCACTGGACATGCTCATCTCGGCAAAGATGCGGTAGCCGTCTGGATTGACGAGAGCCTGGCTCTGGGCTTTTTCGGCCAGTAACCCACAGCGGTTGAAGCCGTAGGCGGCCTTGTCATCTCCAAAAAGGTCCTCGTTCTTCTGGTCCTGGTACGTGTTCGTGTCGATGGCGTGGATCATCTCGTGCAGCAGTGTGCCCGACGCGGAGCGGTACTGATCGGGATCCGGGAAGTCAGCGGACGGCACGTTGGCCGAGAAGCTCAGGGCGAGCGTGCCCTTGTAGCCGTTGGATTGGAGCAGCGCCGCGCAGAACAGCACGCCGATGGCTCTCCCCGTAGGCATCGTCCCCAGGCCGGCGCCTGCTGGGTAGACGAAGCCGTTGAAAGTCTGGCCTAGGGTGGGCGGATTCGCGGTGGTGGAACAAGGTCGCTCGTTAGGTGGTTCTACAGTCGCGATCAGGGTCAGCTCGCTGGTCATATGTTCACAAGTTCCATTGCCACTCGTACGTACGCCCTGATAAGACTATGACATCCTGGGTCCCGGGAATGCTGTAGTACCAAGCATTGGCGACTGTTGAAACGACACACACAGCGTCAGCAGCGCGGGCTAGAACGGTCTAGGCATGTCTTCAGAACTTTCGTCTGCTACTTACAGCTGCCTATAGTTCCCTGCTGGGCCGTCTGTCCGCCGCATATTAAGTAGCCGTTGTTGGTCTGTAGAAGAGCCTTTGCATTATTATATACGGCTGTTGCACCTTCCAAGGTTAGCGTTCGGACTGCTTCAGAGCACTATGCAACACACAAAAACGCCCAAATAAGAAGAACAAGAAAGGAAGAAGAAACGAACGCGTGACGGTATTGGTGAGGGTGGTCTTGGACGATGAAGGCAGTACTCCACCCCAATTGACACTGATACCAAACATCCACTTCGCATTGTTGGCAAGATTAGCGGGCATCGTTAGAGCCTTGATGGTGCTTGCGCTTGTTAGGGTGTTGATGGTGCTCTCAGCGTTGCTGGCAAGGAGCGCCGCATTGTCCCAGATGTTGTCGAGAGTCTGGCCACTTATGGTGACGCCAGCGCACTCGATCTGCTCCCAAGTCACCACCGCGCAAGCATGCCGCATGCCGAGAGCAAGCAAGGCGAGGAGGGCCGCCCTCCAGCTGAGATATGTGCTAGTCTGCATGGTTGATTGTGAGAGGCGAGTAGATATACCGACAGTTACTTTTTCCTATATATTCTTCTCCTGCTTCTTGGTCTTACGATGCCATGCACTTCAAGTTGAAGCGCATACACTCTAGAAAGAAAGACTATGCTGTCGTTTATGCAGAGTTCCTGGTATAAGAGACGACCCCCGACTTAGCGCATGAGCTGCTTGGGTTTCTAGAGCTTGGAAACACCATTATTCGGTCTCGCGCACCGGCTCGTGGTGTCGGCGTAGCTTAATGGTAAGGCGGACTCTTCGGGTCGCGCTCGGTGCAATGAGTGCGAAGGATTGAGGCGCTATGCCCGGAGAGAACAAACAAATATTTCATGTTCTACAGTAATGGTCCAGCATGCATCTTCATTGCTGTTGCATCACAATCCTGAATCCTGCCTTAGCCCCCAGCGCCCATGACCCCACCAGAAAAAGCTTATCAAGGTATAAGCTCATCAAGTTCATGTAGGCCGGACCCCTGCCAAGCGATGATGGCTCGCGGGGAGGGGGCATGCAAACAGCCCACCACCCGGTGCACGGCTAAGATCCCGAGGTTCCAAGGGTTCCTTTCTAGGATCAGGTCGTCAGACACTATTGACGGGGTTAGTTCCTGATGAGGGTAACGCGATTTCAGTTCCTCTAGGCTCCCTTCATCTCCCAATACGACTCCATCCTCAAAGCCGCTGCTCCGTTCATCCCGCGTGGCAGCAGAGGCCGGCAAGTGGCACAGCAATTCTGTGATCATACAATACACCATTAGTAGCTTCCAAAGGTATGGGGTTCCTCCGGATCCTCCGAATCCTACACTTCAACTCAGCTTACAGCGATCTAACAGATTTGAGCTTCAACATGTCGACCTGGTGTTGCATTGCAAATCCTTCGGGATATGATATATTGCTGTACAAGCGTGGAGCTTCCCACCATCACCGTATCGAGATACAAGAACCGTGTGGCACGAGGGACAAGCTTTACGATGGAGCCCAGGCACCGCGGATCGAGAGGCAAGTGAGCATGGATGCTTGACCTAATGCATCCCTTCCCATGGGTCGGCCAAGAGAGTAAAGCGGGACAGCCTTGAGGAACGCAACGCTCTCGAGAGGTCTCCAGCTGAACTCATGTCGTCAAAAGATAAGAGGCAATAAGGACGGCCTATGCGAATTCTACGCCTCCACTGACTTGATCCTCGGCGAAGCACGCCGAAATGTTCATCATGATGAGTTCAATCGTGAGATACGCCGTTCTGCTTGTGAGTTGCTACCTCGCTGGCGTGAGCGCTGTGCAATGGCCGGCCGACTGGCCCGACATCAACCCGGGTCCAGCTGCTCGTCCTCCAGGGGGACCGCGGGTGAGTAGGGTCGAGATTGAAGCCTTGTGTCATTTTACCTCAGCCAGCTGATCCACGTATCTCAGCCGGTGCCGTTCTATATGAAGGATAACAGAGGAAATCGATTCGGCGTGGCCCCTGATAAGGGAACTCTGAACGGCCCCGTCACGACGGAGGCCAACTTGTCAGACATCATCAGGCATAAGCCCAAAAGTCCCGGAGCCCATCTACCCAGATCGGCGTCTGACTCGTTTTGGGTCGACAACCTGTCACAGCTGGGCGAGATGCCGTTGGCTCCATCCGGATACACCTTCTTCCGCAATGTTAAGGACTTCGGCGCCACGGGCGACGGCTCGACGGATGATACGATGGCTATGTATGTGTGATCATTTATACCGTACAAGCTATGCACGAATATGTGTAAAGGCATCAATGTTAACGCCTCTCATTCTCTAGCAACAATGCCATCTCCTCTGGTAACCGCTGTGGCAGCCAATGCGGCTCGACAACAACTCTTGGCGCCATCATCTATTTTCCAGCTGGCATATATGTCATCAGCACTCCTATCATCCAGTACTTTTATACACAGTTTATTGGTGATCCTGGAAGTATCCCCATTATACGCGGTAGTAAAAACTTTACGGGGATTGCGCTCATCGACACGGATGTCTACATCCCGGGTGGCAACGGAGCGGAGTGGTATATCAACCAAAACAACTTCTTTCGCTCCATTCGTAACTTCAACCTGGATTTAACTTTTATGAACGCCACCAATTATGACAGTGGCCAGCAGTACTTCCCCACCGGTATCCATTGGCAAGTAGCCCAGGCGACCTCGCTCCAAAACATCGGTATCAACATGCCCACCAGCACGGACACGCAACCAGCCACAGCAGTAGGCATCTTCATGGAGAATGGGTCTGGCGGCATGATCTCGGACGTTGTCTTCTATGGTGGCAACATCGGTTTCGTAGCCGGATCGCAGCAATTCACCGCCCGAGGGCTTACTTTCACCAACTGTCTGACGGCAGTCAACATGCTCTGGAACTGGGGATTCACATGGTCACAGATCGCAATCACCAATGTCTATGTGGGCTTCAATGTCAGCTCCAATGGGGGCTCTACTGGTCAGGGTACTGGATCTATAGCTGTCATCGACTCGGTCTTCAACCATGCCGAGTGGGGTATCACAACCCATACCGGTGGCGACCCGCCAGCCATCATCTTAACAAACATATACTGCGAGAACAGCCCGCTTATGGTACAGGTTTCAGGCGGCGCGACCACCCTGACCGTGGGTGACACGGAAACTATCGACTTCTGGGCCTCGGGCTACCGCTATATTGCCGCCAATGGCTCCGGCAGCGATGTGACGGGCTATCTGAGCACGGCACCAGTGCGGCCGCCCAGTCTACTCGATCCAGCCGGCGAGTACTTCTGGCAGGATCCGCCGCTATATTCGTCACTCACTGCCTCGTCCTTTGTGGTAGCCACAGAGTCCGGGGTCTCGAACGATGGTACGGGGGACCAGACAGCGGCTATCAACACCCTGCTCCGTGGCCACGTCGGTACGCCTATCTTCTTCCCGGCCGGCGTCTATCAAGTACAGGGTACGGTGCAGGTGCCTGTCGGGTCAATCATTGTCGGATCAGCTTGGTCTCAAATTAGAGGGACGGGCAGCTATTTTCAGGACGTGGACAACCCGCAAGTCATGGTTCGGGTAGGCAATCAGGGAGAGTCAGGCAATATCCAAATCTCGGATATGCTCTTTACAGTCAAAGGGCCGACGGCCGGGGCCATCCTCATGGAGTGGAATGTGCACGAGTCTACACAAGGTTCTGGTACGTCTGGGCTGTTCCTTCCCGTTCACTATTGATGTCACATCACTGACAACTGGTGTTCCTCCCTCTAGCCGCCATGGTAAGTCTCGCGTTCAGTGCCTTGTTTCACGTGGCGATAGGTGAATGAATGGCTGACTCCAACAGTGGAACTCACACTTCCGCGTCGGTGGTGCTGCAGGGAGCGACCTACAACTAGCGGACTGCCCGACCGGAAGCGGCGTCAACAAGAACTGCATAGCTGCCTCGTTGCTTCTCCATCTCACGCCAAAGTCGTCGGGCTATTTCGAGAATGTTTGGGCATGGGTCGCTGATCATGACCTCGACAATCCTCTCGACGCGGATATTAGTGAGGGCACGTCAGGCGTGCCAGAGAACGTACAGACCGACATCTCCGTGTATGTTGCACGTGGCGTGCTCATCGAGTCCCAGGGACCATGCTGGTTCTACGGCACGGCGTCAGAACACGCGACCCTATACCAGTATGAGCTAAGCGAAGCCAACGACATCTACTTTGGCCATGTGCAAACTGAGACCCCCTACTACCAGCCCGTACCAGTGGCGCCAAACCCTTTTACACCAGGCCTATTCCCGTCAGACCCTGACTTTAGCAACTGCACAGCCAGCAGTTGCGAAGAGGCCTGGGCCATGCGCGTAGTCGAGTCTTCCAACGTCATGATCTATTCGGCTGGCTTCTACAGCTGGTTTAGCAACTATGACCAGGGCTGTCTACCGACCGAGTCGTGCCAGCAGCGCATCTTCTCGGTCGAGGACTCTGATCTGATCTGGGTCTTCAACCTGTTCACCAAGGGCACGGTGGACATCGCCAATACACTCCAGGGACCCTCCATCGTGACCAATGCAAGCACACAAAGCGGTTATACATCCGAGATCAACATCTGGCTGCCGTTCTCCGAGTCGGGTGGCGGCGGCAGCGACAGCTTTGGCAACGGCAACATCGTCTACGTAGACCCGACCATCTGGGGAAATCCAACGGAGACCATCGGGTGCTTGCCGCCCTGCACCATTCTCTTCCCACCGCTAGACCTGCCCACGCCGATCACCGTGAGCTGGCCCCCTTACGCCACGGGCATCTATTCACTCAGTGGCAGTTCGACCGTGACCATTACCACCACCATCACCATTCCACCCTTCACAATCGGCTCCATCCCCTTCTGGCCTGTAACCATTGAGCCCAACGACCCGACCACAGGCGCCATCTCACCTGTGCAGAGCGTTATGCCCCCATCAACCACCCTCGTGCTGCCGCCTGGCGAGGCGCCCATCACCGTAACCGACGGCACCGCAACCGCGGGATCAACGGCTAGCACCTCGTATGCCTTTGGATACATTACCTACTCGCCGCTTCCCCCCATTTTCGTCACGACGAGCTCGACCATCACCATCCAGCCCATGCCTACAATCAGCGTGCCCATCCCACCGGGAGACTCGCCCACACCGACAACGTGGACGTCACACACGGTGCCCTACACGCGCAGCAGCACCGGCGTCTTGCCGCACTGCACGTCAAATTGCGGTACCGGCAACTGTTACTTTGGCTGCAACGGTGGGTGTGGACTCTTCGGATGCAACGGCGGCTGTGGTATCTTCGGCTGCGGAGGTGGGGGCTGCGGCCTGTTTGGGTGCGGTGGTGGTGGATGGAATCTGGGTGGATGTGGCCCGGCCGGGTGTGGCTGTTTCCTGGGCTGCAGCGGAGGAGGAGGAGGCGGAGGGGGCGGCGGTGGTTGCAACGGCCCAACATGCAACAATGAGCCTGGTGATGAATGTGAGGGAGACGACTGCGAGTGCGAGCCCACCAAGACGGTCACATCTTGCCGTGTGGTATGCACGGCGACGGTCGAACCAACGACCACGATTACAGGATCATGCACAACCTCAACTTGCGAGGTGACGAGCTGCGGCCGGGATACCACCGTTACTTCGACGACTACCACCACGCCGGCGGAAGAGATTGTGCTTTCGACTGGAGCCGTCGACCCGGTGTGGTCCGAAGACACGACCGAGGCGTTTGCGACCGCCTTCTTCAGCGACTTTGTCAGCTGGTGGGACGCCGAGAACGCCGCCGCGGAGACGACGACGACGACGACGACGACGACTTCGCCGGCGTGCGCGCCGACGGTCACGCCCTGGCCGACCAATACACTCATCAACGAGGGCAGCGGCTACTGCTTCACCACCAACAACGCGCCGAACTGCAACAGCCCGCCCTACAAGCTGTTCGCCCAGACGGCCGCCGAGAGCGTGGTCAGCACCTTCTGCGACGCGCAGCTGACGCTCCAGCCCAGCGCCACGCCGCTCAGCCGGAGCTACGTCGACGGGAGCACGACGGTCTATGCCGTGGCGGCCTGGGCCGACGACCAGTCCGGCTGCGGCGACGAGGGGGCGCTCGACTTCTCTGATTTCGGGTGCGACGATGGCTGGGACCCCGACTTCTTCTGCGTGGACGAGGAAGGCAGCGAGGACACGAGCTACGGCGGGGGATACGTCCTCAAGACTAATAACGATGAGGGATGTATCTTGCTCTCGTTGTATGCGCACTGAGTTGGATCCTGCAGGGGAAGCCCGGCCGGCAGGTAAGAGTCAAGTGTAAGTGGAGAGAGAGCTAGCATAATTTAGATGTGAATGTAATTATGGATGTGAAACGTGCATACAAATGCTCCCGTCAAAAGACAACCGAAGAAGTGCATGGTGAAATATTTCTTTACATGTAGCAAGTCAAGTTACCTGGTTCTATCTCCGTGGTTTCTGAAGCCCACCAGAAATAGTGGTCTGAGAGGATCATCCTGTCCAAACTGAGGTGCTTGTGGGTATTGTATCTCTCTTCTCTTCTCTGGTTCCTGCTTTTGATGGTGGAAGCTGGTTCTCTTTGCATGTGTGCTTTCTCTACAAACACAAAACCTAACTCCAGAGCATTCCGAACCTGATTTAGCGCCGCTCCAAAAACCAGCGCAATTCTAAGCATGTAGTCCCTTTTTGGGCGAAACAGGCATCGCATAGATCTTGATGTACTCTGATCTGGGAGTCATTGATGTGGGGCATCGTCAATGACCTGATTGCGCCATTGAGATGCAGTCGCATCGCACGGCTTGAGAATTGATTAGCAACCGTTGAGCGTGAGTGGACGACATTTTGTTGGGGACTTCAGGGTCCTCACAGCCCAGCAAGGCGGGGCGGGCAGAGGGGCTGAGGGGCTGAGGGGTCAGTATTAGTGTTAGTGCCAGGCACACAATCCCGGCTATAGGCGGCCCGCCAAGCCAGTGGATGGGGGGTCGTGGTGAGCTGTCCCGAGAGAATGCGTCATCTCGATCAGCTAATTCTAACTTGTTGACTGTATCTTGATCTGGCAGAAGTGAGAATCATCCAAGTGTCCGGGAACAGCTTGCAACTTCTGCTGTAGATCACGCAAACACCCCTCCCTGATCGAGAGTTACAACCCGTCAGGACGATGAGGATCAGGGCTCCGTCACGGGCTCTCAGAGCTATACCAATATCACTGCGGGGGAGGGGAAGAAAGGATCCTCGGCACATGATCGCTCTGCGGTGCATGTCCACAATCGTCGACCACCAGCCAAACATCCCCTTGACGCCCTCACAACCTCCGCCGCCTCCTAAATCAGTCGGCGGCGACGCTCATCGCTCAATCGAAGATGAGCGAAGACGAGCTGCGAAACAGATCTTCAGGGCTGCCGTGGCGGCCACTGCTCCGAGACATGACTACACAAAGGAGGAGATTGCGGCTATTTATTACCAGCCGTTGATGGAGTTGACGTTTCAATCTGTAAGTCTATTTTGGGGATTATTTACAGTGAGAGTCATCTGATCAACTAGGCAAATGTCCATCGACGCTTTCACAATCCGGCCGAGGTCCAGCTATGTACCTTGATGAATATCAAAACCGGAGGATGCACCGAAGACTGCTCCTACTGTGCCCAGTCTACACGCTATCAAAAGGGCACCGGCCTAGAGGCCAAACGCGTTGAGAGCGTCGAGAGTGTGCTGGCCGCAGCTCGCGTCGCAAAGGACAATGGCAGCACCCGCTTCTGCATGGGAGCCGCCTGGCGCGACATGAGGGGGCGGAAGAACAGCTTGAAGAATATCAAAGAGATGGTGCGCGGCGTGCGAGAGATGGGCATGGAATGCTGTGTGACGCTCGGCATGATCGACGAACACCAGGCCAAGGAGCTGAAGGATGCTGGTCTGACTGCCTACAACCACAACGTCGACACCAGCCGCGAATTCTATCCGTCTGTGATCTCCACGCGCACATATGACGAGCGCTTGAAGACACTGAGCCATGTTCGCGATGCGGGCATCAATGTATGCTCAGGCGGCATCTTGGGTCTCGGAGAATCGTCCGAGGACCGCATCGGTCTGCTGCACACCGTGTCAACACTGCCCTCTCATCCCGAGAGCTTCCCTGTCAATGCTTTGGTCCCTATCAAGGGAACGCCCCTGGGAGATCGGGCCCCCATCGAGTTCACCAGCATGCTGAGGACCATCGCGACGGCGCGTATCCTGATGCCAGCCACCATCATCCGCATAGCGGCCGGACGGAAGACCATGTCGGAGGAGAAGCAGGCCTTGTGTTTCATGGCAGGTGCCAATGCGATTTTCACCGGCGAGAAGATGCTGACGACGGAGTGCAATGGTTGGGACGAGGATAGCGCCATGTTCGGGCGTTGGGGGCTCGAGCCGATGAAGAGCTTCGAGAAATCACCGCAGCCAACTCCGGGCGAATTCACGGGGCCATGATGATGACTATACACATATCAACAACAATATGCCCTTGGTCATAATAGGAGAGGGGTCTGGTGAAGCCTAAAACTTTTTGGAGCTATGGTTAATAGTTGTCAAAACTAAACCAACTGGTATATTTGAAATATGAATCGCTTTTGATAGAAGTATACACCATTTATCACCATCCCATGACCAATGCCCAACCGTCGATATTCAATGCAGCTCCAAGTCTCGTACAATTTTCGTAGGACGTGAACAGCGGACGTTGCCCCACAGACCAGACACTCCTAGCACCTCCTCCACTGGTATTTGAGGTTCTCAGAGTCGACGTCGAATGTGCCGCCGTCAGCTCCAATGAGAGCTACACGGAAGTTGACATTTAGTATGCCAGGATTACCATCTCCTCCAATGCACTTTGACCACACTGGGTTATCAACTGTTCGATGGATGGTCAAGGGCACGGTGATCGTTCCTGGGGTAGTGTTCGTGACATGGTCTTCGACAGTGCGCTACTTCTATCAGTCTGAGTCCATCATTTGTAGACATCCGTCAACTTACTGTATCAGAGGCATCATCCGACCAGTATATTTGCCAGTAGTAGTTGAAGCGCGACCCGGCTGGGAGCACAACCTTGCCATTGACATTCAGCTCTGACACGCTAACTTGCCAGCCGGCGGAGGCGCCACTGCCTTGATAATGCACTTCGCAGTTTTGTGTCGAATCTTTGCCAGGCCCATCAGCAATGAATTGTGAAAAGGTAAATGTCGCGTCAGTCCAGCCTCCAACACGCTTCACTGAATTGCTGCCTTGTGTGCAGCCATTTCCTGAATATCGGAACGCTGTCAGGGCTGGAAGACTGGCGGGCGTGTCTCGAACAGCAACCGGGCCGCAGTTGGCCAAAGGCAGCAGAGCCGCGAGAATAAGCGTTTTGAAATAGCCCATGATAAGTTAAGATTGATATATGCTTATAAATTTGGAAGGAATGCCAAGCTTTGATGATGGGTCTTGAAGTGCGGAAATCCCGTGTCTGGGGGTGCCATACCAGCTCTTCTTATAGACGAAAAGTAACACGATTCCCTATCTTGCTGATCCGTTTTGATCACATGGCGTAAGGGTGGTGCTGTGTTTGCCACATTGAGCGTAGCTATTGTGTTGTTGTGGGAGGGCATCGTATTTATCCATATTAACAACCGCATTTCCAGGGACTTGGATTTTGATCAACTTCAGACGCAAGCAGCGTCTATTTTTGGCCGTGGGTCTAGAATCTTACCAGGGAGCCGACTCCAGAATGATCAATTGAGTTTAATGGAGATGCTACCTTAATCACTCTCTTCTGGGCCGGTTTGCGCTAGAGCTTGAACGATGTCATAACCCGACAACAGGCACAGAGGTGAGTCGCCGTAGGTGGAAAGAGGACTAATCTAAATATATGAGACATAGGTTCTCGCCACCCGCTCCGACCAATGTGTCCTGCTTCACTGGCCCCTTTTCAATTTCGCGTCTCGAATGGACTAGAGCGTCATTGAGTGCCGCTCAACGGCTCCAGGCGGCCTAGGCCACTCCAACGGTGTGGACGGCGACAAGTTTCCGCCTTTGATTGAGGCCTACGGGCCGATGCTACCTGTCCTTATAAGGAGAATACTATTATAAACTCTAATGTAGTATTCAACGGGTCGTCAAAAGCTTACTTGCTGTGGATTGTGAACTCATGGTTCGAGGCTCACTTCCACGAGTTCCATTGGAACCCCCGCAGTTTTGGCTCTTCAGTAACACTTGTAGCAAGGGGCAATGGCATATTGCCAGAAGATGAACCAATCATCGGGGGCCGTGACAGTCCGAGGCTGATAGTCCTCTAGGCTATTTGAACTTCGATGCAACCCACCATGGAAGACAATTCTTTCAGCTACAATCAGGATGACAAGAGGAAGAACCATCACATTTGTTTCAATAGATCATCAGAACGCTAGACTTTTGATTAACGATGGCCTGATAAAGCATAATCAATGAACTATCACGCATTGCGCTGAGGAAATACTCTAGTCTGACACCGAAAACATACTTCAAACACTGATATACCAAGAAGTCCGAGCTTCTTCTGCTATGACAAGTCTTTCAACCTGGAGTACTCCGGCAACTTCCAAGCTTTCTTCTCGTCCGATCCAAAAAGTCCAGTGAGTTTCTCGAGTTTCAGCAGAGAAACCATCCACGCAGTGCTTTGCAGAGCCTTTACTCCAAAGGCACTCTTCGGAAGCAGTAGTCCGGGCATGCCTGGTGGCAGTTGATGAACCTCTTTGACGAGCGGGCGCAAAATCCGCTCGTACTCTGCCAAAGCGGTCTGGACGTCATTTTCATGTTGGCTGATTTCACCTGCAAGGACGTAAGCGCCGACGAGTGCCAGGCTTGTTCCCATACCAGTCAATGGGGCAGGACAATATCCGGCATCTCCTAGAAGAACAACTCTTCCACTAGACCAGACGTCGCTCTTGCGCTGCAGTAATTCTTGTGCGTAGAAGTCGTCTACCTTTCGCATTGCGTCTATCAGTCGAGGTGCTTGCCAGCCAGCATCTTCGAACACGTTTGTAAACAGCTCTTTTTGTTCAGAGATGGTGCCCTTGAGAGCGGTTCTCATTTCTTCTGGGTGCGACATGGTCATCAAGTATGCCGAACCCTCAGTCGGCGAGTGCCAGCGGGTCATCATGGCCCGCTGATTGGGTGCGTGGGCAGAGATGCAAGCACTTCTGTCATCAAGCTGGCGCGGTATTTTGAAGTACGCATTGAAGACACCAAGGGATCGTGACTGGTCTTCAATCTTTCCGGACTCCACAAGTTGTCTTCGAATTCGAGAGCTTTGTCCATCGGCGACGATGAGTAGATCGAAACTTTCAACAGACCGGTCCGAGAATGTGACTTTGACTTTGCTGCCCTCGTTTTGAAACTCGCTGACCATCAGATCAAACCGATAGGATGCTCTGTTCTCCGTCACTCGATGTAGTATCTTGCATATCTCGTCCCGCATAATCTCAAACTCGCTCGTGAAGCTCTGGGAGCCAGTCCCTTGGCTTTGTTTCACAAACTCGGCTTGTTGTCTGCCTTTCGAGTCCACAATGATAGTGCACTCCTCGTCCACGATATGCTTCCGAATCTCGTCCAGCAGGCCCATACGCCTAGCAGCCTCGACGCCCTGTTGGCGTAGATCGATTTGTTGTCCACTAGTTCGGAGCTCGTAGTGACGTTCGACAATGGTGCAGGAATGACCCAGTCGGGCGAGCCAGAAAGCTGCTGCTGGCCCTGCTATACCAGCACCAGAAATAAGGATCTTGAGCGGTGGCATAGTTGGGATAAGTTGGAAAGAGTTCTAGAACACAGGGAACAGTTTGTTTGAGAGGATATTGTAATGAGTTTTTGTCAAATCAAAACTGTATGCGAGACGGCGATGATGAAGCTTATATACTTCACAAGCACTCAAGTGCAGGAGATGAAAGTTTTATGCATTATTGACAGTTGACTATTTGGCCTTGCTATGTATACTTTTGCCGGTCTCGGTCTCTTTCATGACTCGGCGAAAAGACTGATACAGATCAAGAAGAATAGTGTTGTCTACTATGATTCGGCACCATCACGTCGGCCTCACCTTCATCATCGGCCCCGTGTTATGAAGTCTCAGCCTCGGGCGTAGCTCACACAGATGCACTATTCAGCAGATAGGAGCAGAAGTGGAAGGTCCGGCGCTCATCGGTTTCGGGTGAGTGAGACCCACTTTCGGGACCGAGATGAAGTCGGGCGAGCTGCGCTGTGCGCCCGAGCCTTCTAAACTTCACTGCTTCAATTGCGGAATCGTTTTCGCACCGGTTACAGTCTTATGTCTAAAAGTCTACTTGTTGTATAATACTCGAGAACTTGAGTTCATTCAAACCTGAAGCAAATATGAATAGACGCTCGTAGCCGTCAATATGGGAATCATCGGGATAGAACAAGCAACCGGAGACTGGTGCTTGCGTCCCAGCTTAGCAAGTCAAGGTCCTCAGCTAAGCTGCCTTGCGCACGTCAAGAACCCAGCATTCAGGCGCGTGCCAATTAATGTTATCCAGCGATAGCAATTATTTTATTTGCTTCAACTTTGGAAAATGCATGAACGTTGGCAGGAAACATTACCTGTTTGGGGGCTGGTGCAAGTAGTGGTCTGATTACGCTTGTTTCAGCTCCGCAAGTAAACCAACTGAGTAATGGCAACGCGGCCTGGCTCGCTTCAGAGTGGCATTGTTTCCTCACTTTCAACCTCAAGCACACCATCGCTATCTCCTCAATCTATAGACTATAGTGCTGAAGAGATTCCCAATGGCCGCCAGCATCGCAACACAGAGTCCCGCACTCGCGCCGGATGCGCTTGTACCTCCCACCACCACCACCACCGACACAAGCCCGGCCCCGCAGCTCTCTCAGCGTTCCGCCGCTGCCGAATACGTGAACTCAGCTCGGTTCCATCGCCGCTTGACGCTGCCGGCCACAGATGCCCATGGCGAATTGACAGTGACATACGCCATTGCCGGGGCGCAAAGCACTTCAGCAAAGACGGCCTTCTTCATTGGCGGTATGATGGGCGGCCGTTTCCTCGCTACGTTGGTTGACTTTCTGGGCGAGAAGCTCGGCCTGCGGATTGTGGTAGTGGATAGGTGCGTTAGATTTAGATCCCCTCTGCGTGCTTTTCAATGCCCATGTTTTCCCCTCTTGGAATTGTAATTTATTCAAGCCTGCCGACTGAATTTCAATGAAGCTGATTGCCATATTCCTTATTGTTTTATTTGTTAGAAAAGAACTAACGTGAAGAGCTGTCACAGGCCAGGAATGGGTGGTTCAACAAACGTCGATGTTTCACAGCGTATCGCAGTTTGGCTCGAGACTGTGCCGTTATTGATGAGAGAACTCAATGCCGAGCATGTCTCTATCATCTCACACAGCTGTGGTGTCATCTATGCCCTCAACACTATCTATGCCTACCCCGAGATCTTGCCGCCCGCCAACCCAACACTACACCTCTTTTCACCTTGGGTGCATCCTCAGCAGTCCGGAGTCACACTCATGAATGTGTCATCCAAGCTGCCAGCGCCACTGATCAACCACTTCAGTTCCGTTCTCTCATTTGTCAACCAAGTAGTGGCCCCGTCGATTGCCTTTTCTTCCGGCGCTGTGACCTCTGCTTCGGGCCTGCTTTTATCATCAGATACATCTACGAGTGACCAAGGGCGCAAGAAGAAGCACGAACGGGACGATCTCTGTCGAGAGTATCGCGGCGCCTCTGCGGCAGTCACCGCTGCGCGCTCAGATGAGTCGATGCGCCGTATGTGGAAGGAAGACATCACTGGAGCGAACGGCGAGGCTCTGCTGTCACTGAAGAAGCCCCAGGCTGGGTCCTGGGGAGTGTGCGAGAACTACGAGACCTGCCCCCGCGAGCTGGAAGCGCGCATTACGGAGCGTCTCTCCCAGCGAAGCCAAGATGCGTCAACAAGCAGCCCATCTACTACGGAGGCGCAACCGGTTCTGCACATTCGTGTCTTTTGGGCAGAGACAGACATGATGGTTGGCAAGAAGGGAGAGGAGTACTTTGACAAGTGCTTCAAGGCCCACTGCACTGAGCAGAGTCGCCTGACTTATCGAAGCGAGACGGTGGAAGAGACTGATCACGAGTCACTTTGTCATCCACAATACGGCGGGTTGCCCAAGGCATTACAGGACATTTCAGGGACGGCGTGATCATCTCATACGAGAAGCAGGCACCAGACCTCGCGTTGATCGTTCGGGATGCAGTCATGTTGGAGGGTTTGATATCGATCAAGTACTTCATTATTTTATGAAAGGAGGCGGTCGGATGCGGCAGAACTCCTGTGAGGACGAATTGTGACGTCACATTATGTCAACCCCAACACAGAGGCCTCGCGTTTGCAGACGTCCAACAGGCGATTCTCACTTTCCTTTCTTGTCCCTCTTTAACGCAAACACCACGCGTACGAAAGCAACCACCGCTGTCATCAAGAAGTCAGTTACAGCTGTTTTGATATGGGCCGACAGGAGGCAATCGCGCGTTCCATCGTGCTTGCCGTCCTCGGCAGCGCTAAGAGACAGTCGCGTTCTCCACTCGCCTATATTCTGACTCTCTTCTGGTCTCTTTTCTCCTTCTTCCAGCTACCTCTACATAAGATCCGTCCTGTTCTCTTTTCCGATCTCCGCCAGAAGAACTGGGCGGTCAAAGATGAGGACTATGTGGCAGCCTTCGTTGCCGACGGAGGCGATAGCAGGAAGCAGGAGGATGCGCTGACAGCTATTGGGGATATGGGGTTCTCGGGCAGCTCGTTCTATTCTACCTCTAATCAACAATATCTTGTGAAGTCCGTACCTCGACACTCCGAACATTCCTTTTTCCGCGATGATCTCCTTGAACCTTACGCCGCGCATATGGCGGCCCATCCGAAGTCGCTCATCGTACGCATCTGCGACTTTCTAGCCTGCCCTGCCATCTGCATCGGCAGAATACTCAGGCTCGCCCCCAGCCACCACATTGTCATGGAGAACATCATGTATGGTCGGGAACAAGCAAAGACGCAGGGCAAGCCAGACTGGGAAAACTGGGATCTCAAGCCGACAAGCTACTTCTACCCTGAACGAGATATCGCAGAGGGCCGCTTGACCAGCGAGGCGACGAAAGATCAGCTCGCTGACGAGTTTCATGACAAGATCATATTGAGCAAAGAGCAAGCAGACGAGTTCTTCGCGGCACTGGAAGAGGATACCAGGATGCTGTCTCACTACAATGCGGTGGACTACTCATTGTTCCTTGTTCGCATCAAGACAGACGATTCTGCACAGGAGGTCACAGATCCTCAGACGTCAGCTTCCCGAGAAGCTGACGTCGTGCCGCGAGCTCCCCCTTCGGTCCCGCCCGGCCCTCCTTCTTGGCGTACGGGCATCCCCAGCCCAGATGGCAAACATGTCTATCGTGCTGCGATCTTGGACTTCTTCTGGGCCAAGCACAAGGTCCAGCCCAGACTGATGACTTTTCTGATTTCGGCTTGGAACTTGTTGATCAGCAGGCATGGACATATGAGCATCACGACAACACCAGATGAGTATCGGGAGAGGTTCTTAAATATGTGCCGGGAATACGTCGAAGTTAGAGAGTAGATGACTTGGTTTTGATTACTTTTGCGAGGCGTCCGGGTCCGATGCGATGCTATACTATACCCTACATAGCTTTTGAATTAACCCCTTTTCATTAACAGTTCCTTTGCCATTGAGTAGTCTCCAGCCCAGTAATCCGTGTTGTAAGGGGCTATTGTGTGTTCGTTATTCACTTGAGCTGCAGCGGTGAAGGGGCCGGTTAATCAGACAACTGAACTCGCTATCATCCCAACTTTCACTAATCACCACGGTTACCAGACTACCGCAACCTAGATACAACTGTATGGTCTCTTTGAAACATCGCGTTGTTTACATCTTTTTTACCCAGTGAAGATCACGCCGAAACTTTAGTTCTTCACGCGGTTCTCGCCAACGGTCGTACCTACACCAATCATACTTCCTTACAAGACTCCTAATTCCTTCCGCGTTGCGACATTACTATTGCTTACAGTTCACGTCAGCAACAACTGTGCAAGTAGGGCTCAACAATCCGTACAGGGGAGAATGACCTACCTTTATTGGGTCGGCCTCTTCGGGGGAGCGAGCCCCATATTGCTCTCGTCAGGGGATCACATCCGTCACCCGGCGAGCACCACCCCCGACGCCAGCGAGAAGGAGGAACATGTCACGAAGAAGACAAAGCAGAATAAGCCTGTTCAGCATGTCTTTTCTAACTTCGCCAAGATCAGTCCCAAAATCCTCAAGCAACCTTTCAAGGCTTTTCGCAATCAGTGGCGCCGGAGTTCTTCGGCCCAGAACTCTGACGAACAAGAGACTAACCTGTATGAGTCCTTCTTTGAAGTGAAGTTGTTGAGACTACGTTACTAACTGTGTTTACTTCAGGCTACCAACCATTCCTAGCAATACTCCTGTAACTGATAAGAAGATCAGCAACTCGCTCAATCTTAAAAGCCTACCTGCCTCAATTGCAAGACAGCGTATCGACGAACATGACGTTACCCAAGATCAAGGGTTTGGTCATGGAGTGCCTAAAGAGTCTGTACCGATCATTCTCCCTGCCACCGTTGTGACAGAGACCATGTCAGGTCCCGTCGTCAGAGGCCGAAGTACATCGGCAGAGAGCGGACAAAGCACCGAGTCCACAGTGACATCGGGCAGCACAACTAGAGCCGGGTCAAAGGAGACCCTTCTCACGTCTTCATATGACACACTCCCATCCCTTGGTACCAATTTCAGCAACAACAAAGGCGAGACCATTCAACATAATCCCCACTGCTGTGAGCCTCAGGAATTGGGCATAGTCGGACACCAAGACCGCCTTCGAGATGATCTTGCAGAAACGGTTGCTCCACCTCCTCGTCTCGAGCATGAAGAGTCATTCAAGGATAGCAGTCAGTCTGACGACGAGGAATCTAAACCGGGAGCTATCGAGTTGATGAAGCGAGGAGACATTTCACGGCCATCTCAATTTTTGAGCAAGGACTGGGAACACAAGAAACAGAGACTTCCCGATATCAGCCTCGCCATCAAACTTCATGACGATGAGGGACACACTTATACATTTTGGCCGTCAACCAAGCTCTGTGAGCTCTCTCATGACGAGCATTTGATTTCCGGCGGCGCGATACTGGCCCAGGAGAAGATGATTTCCAGCATCTGTCAGGCTTGCGGCAAAACAAGCCATCGCGCAATAATCGAGAACCTACTTGAGTTTTACGCGGAGACAGATGTCGAAGAGGAAGAGGAAGAGGGTATCGAGACAGGGCCTGATTGCGTCTTGCCAGATGTGGAGCCGGCCCCAGCGATGGGCACGAATCCAATTCTGAAGCAGTATAGCGAGACGTCGGCGGAAGACGACTAGGCTTCTGACTTCCCCGCGTTCTTCGGCTATCGCCAAACTCTAGCCATCATCCCTAAAGAGGAGGATAAGGACTTGCACTAGGCATAGAGTGTAAAAGGAAGGCGTTACGATGGGACCTAATCAGGAGCTTTTAGTGTGAGGGAACAAGGAACAGGCTTTGTGCATCAATCGGCGAGGCGCAACGCAAATGTTTACCACCAAACTGCATAGATTAGCGAGGCTTGCTACATACAGCTGAGATGCGCAAACGCTCAAAATGTATATCTAATGAGTGTCATATTTACATGGTGACCATAATTGGCCGCTGAGTCTGAGAAGTGAGAAGTAAACCTGACGGATGATGATACGATTGTCCTTCCAAGCTCTCACTAGCAGCTTAGCATGAAATGCCGCTCGGAACGTTAGAGCAAGAGCTGTATGTCTTGCCACCCGTCACCTTGACATTGGACCACGTCCAATCAGAGCAGGCACCGCTTCCGCAAGCAATGACAACGTTGTACCCAGAGCTGGCGACCGCACCAGTGCCGGAGATGTTCTCAATTGTGAGGTCAGTGATGGGAATGCCGCTGGAGGGTGTGCCACCGTCCAAGTCACCGCCATCATAGTTCTGCTCAATCAGAATACCGTACCTAATTATGGTCAGCAATGTGTTATGTGTAGTAATTATATCAAGGACCACTCACTTTGAAATGCTCTGCAGAGTAATCTCGTTGTAGGTGACACCCTTGATCGTGCCGGTATCGCCCTCAATCGCCTTGATGCGAATACCTGTTGTCATAAGTTAAACTAGAATAATTAGACGAAACTTTAAGAGACCATACCATTCACGGAGTTCTTGACCTCGTTATTGTAGAAAGTGACAGTGTCAACAGTGTTGTCAGAACGGCCGCCGACTGAACCAATGGACAAACCGTGACCACCGGAACACACAGAGTTCTCGAATGTGATTTTCTGTCCCACAAGTTAGCTAATCTTTCGAGAGTCGTTCTTGAGATGTTCTCACGGTTCCTGAGTTTACTGCAACACAATCGTCCTGGTTATACACATTGGCGCCAGTGATGACAACATTGTTTGAAGAGCCAATGTCAAAGCCGTCGGTATTCTTGCCGCCAGCAGAGTCACCGGCAGAGTTGTCGATTGTCATGCCTGTGATGGTCAATCCATCGGCGCCGTTGATGCTGACAGCTTGGACGGGCGTGTTTTGAATGTGAAGATTGGTGATGGTAGAGTCGGTAAGGTCATGAGCATAAAAGAACTTGGGCTTGGTCTTGCCGCCACTGCCACCAGAGCCGTCCCACCAACGAGCACCACCACCATCGAGATAGGCGCCCGAAGCTCCCTCAATTGTGATACCATTGCCTTCAATCTGGAGTAAAGGTCCATCCCATTCCTTGTAACCCCAGGTCGTCTGACCCTGAAAGATAACCTATCCAATTGTGTCAGCCAAGCACTACATGCTACATTGCAAGGATTTGCGAACGTGAGTATCATCCGGGAGATCAGAGAGATCCAGAGTCACACCGGAAGGCACAGCAACATTGGTCAGAATGATCGTTGAGCATGACTTCTGCGATTTGCTCGCCGATGCGGCACCGGTAGAGCCGGAGAAGGTGCAGCTTGTTGCTCTCTTGAGGAGATTGGCAGCAGGCGGGGGCGTGATGGCTGGAGCTGCCACTGGCTCCGCAACAGGAGAACAGCTTGCAAGCCCGGCAAAAGCGACAAGGAGTGGGATGACAGAAGCAATCATGATGGCGACGAGACAAACGAATCTAAATCCACGTCTGAGGCTGGCCCTGTCTCTCTCTTGGCAGCAGATGTCATCGTCAATATTGTTTCTTATATAGCTGTAGACAAAGTGTGTAGTTGAAACTTGAAGAGCGCTAGAGTCAATCAATAGTTCTTCCGACAAGGAAGCAGACGTCCGGTCGAAATTCCTCCAATTACTCAAGGCGATGAAACATATTCACAAAGCGGACAGGAGATTCTCCGCTCCAGACGAAGTCCCATGGCCAAAATGATCAGTTCCTTCACAGGTGACGAATCTGTCCCCCACATCGCGTGTTAGGAGTATGTGGTTGAGGCTACCTCAATAGCCCCCATTGCTCTTCGAGGACAGCGAGGAGTCGGACAACGTGGAATTTGTTTAATTGGCCGCGTGCCACTGACATCAAAAAACAAAACACTCTAGGGCACTTGTTGCCTCTGCAATTGGTGGGGTTTCTTGGCATTAGCAGCTCTGTACCCCTGAGCATCCAAACGCTGGACGTCTACAATTGGTGGGGTTTCTTGGCGTCGGCAGTTTGCGACCCCCTGAGCGCGTGGAGATGCTTGTACGATGCATTGGAGATGCAGGCCCATCTACAAATTGGAGGGTCGCCTCGATGTCCAAGAGATGGCCAAGAGATGGCCAAGAGAGCTTGTTAAAGCTTAGCTATCGGCTGCTCCTCAAGCCATTGGCCTCGTTTGATTAAGTGACCCTCCCAAGTGTCAGCAATCATGTGGCGCCGCCTTGTCCTAGGGTTCGCCGCGTTGGCGTCTGGAGTTGCCGCTACATCCAGAACGTCACCCCCATCTGGCAGTATCACTGTGTGCAGTTCGGGTTGTGACTACACCAAGGTTTGCATCCGAAGACCACTGCTCTTTGAATTTCATATTGCTAACCAGATCACAGATCCAGAGCGCTGTCAGTTCCATCTCCACCAGCTCTACCTCGGCGCACAGCATCTTCATCTACGCTGGCACTTACACGGAGCAAGTCACAATTCCGTCTTTATCCGGAAAGTTAACCATATACGGATACACAAGCAATACTGCGTCTTATAGCAGCAATGTTGTCAACCTGGACTGGAGCTCAAGCCTTGCTAGCGGTGCTGCCGACGATGAGCATACCGCCGCATTGATCAACCTCTCCAAGAACGTTGCAGTCTACAACATCAACATCAAAAATACCTACGGCAAAGGATCCCAGGCTATTGCACTGTCCGCATATAACACCGAACAAGGCTACTATGGCGTTGGCTTGTAAGCCTATTTCCTTCCGTGTACAAAGCGTAGGCTAACAGGTCTCAAAGGTACGGCTATCAGGATACTCTGCTTGCGGAGACGGGCAATCAAGTCTATGCTGCATGCTACATTGAGGGCGCAGTTGATTTCATCTTTGGGCAGCACGCTCGCATCTGGATCACCAAGTCGGTAATTGCAGTCAGTGCTGGCGGCGGGTGTATCACTGCCAACGGACGGTCTTCGTCTTCTGATGTGAGCTACTACGTTATCAATGACAGCACGATTCAGGCTGCCTCCGGTGACTCAGTCTCCTCCGGTACCGTTTACCTCGGTCGCCCTTGGAGCGAGTATGCACGAGTCTGCTTTCAAGACTGCAGTCTGTCTAGCATCATCAACAGTGCAGGCTGGAGCCAATGGAGCAGCAGCACACCCAACACTGAGTATGTTACCTTTCAAGAGGTTGGCAACACAGGCACCGGTGCCAGTGGCACGCGTGCGAGCTTCGCAACCAAGATTAGCGCACCGCTCACCATCGCGACCATTATTGGAAGCGATTATACAAGTTGGGTTGACAGCACATACCTTTAGAAAAGCATGGTGGTAAGGGCAAGAGCAGATTAATAGCCTAGCTTCAATAAATAAGTTCTGTATTCGAATCTGTACAAAGTAGGCATTTCTCAAATCGATGCCTGACCTCATCAAAGGAGCGTGCTGATGATGAGGACCGAGTTACTGGACATAGCTTTGATGTACTCTTTGAATACACTTCTTTCTGGTGACGAGCTTTCACTTTTCTACGAATACCTGTCTTTGAGCAATTGATTAAACTAAACGGGATCCTTACAGTGAGTTATCGCTCGCAATATGGTTCGTGTCAAGTCAATTAAAGACGACTCTTGATTCACCGTCTCGCCTTTTCGAATGTCTCTAGACCGGCTTCCGGCCTACAACAGCTTTCTGCCAGAAATAAGGATGCGAGTCTTTTGATAAAAGCTCGCGGCGAAAGTGAGCAGCATAAACTTTGATATTCTCTCTTGTCCAGCCGGCTAGATCTGCCATAAGATTCACAGAGCCCTCAATATCCTGCAAGAGAGTGAATCGCATGTAGGTTCCGATTTCTTGAAGTTTAGGGTCTTGAGGCCAAGTACCCACAGGAGTCTGAGTATGAAGTATCAGCAGCACTCTTGCGAGAGTTTCCAAGCAGGCCGTATTTTGACTCACTTTAAATTTGATCTCTTTGATATCGACGAAGCCCGCTTCTTCCATAGCCTTCTTCTGGATGTCATCTTCCAGTATTGTGAAAGGGCGGCCAATTTTACGGCCTCCTTCCACAAAGAACTTGCCCCATTGGGTCATTGCGCTTTTGTCATGTACAGAACCGTCGTCGCTTACTATGGATGCTGATGGCTCTTGGCTTTCAATGTACCCACCTGGGGCGAGACTCTTGTACGCCTGCTTGAAGAGAGCTGGCCAATCTATGACACTGCCTAAGAGCCAACGTATGTGGACATAATCGATCGAATTCTCGGGAAACGTCCACTCTTGTGTGCAATCGTCAATCTGGCTGATTACCAAGATGAGAAGGGCTTAGCATCTTTGCGAACCTCACATCGGAATAGAGCAGGTGCCGGTTACTTACAATTGAAGGTTTGGTGGAACCCAGCTTGGCTGAATTGGTGAAATATCGGTGCCAATGATTTGAGCATCGGGAAACTCGTCAGCGAAGTCGCTTATATGCTCGTCAATAATCCGCTTTGTGGAGATAGAACCAGTGCATCTCAGAGAACGTACATTGCCCAAATACCTACATGATGAGATTTTACTGTGATCAGCACTTCCTGAAATTGAAGGATCTCGTAAACGATTACCTGTTCCAGTGCCAATGTCGACCACTTTCTATAGCGGAAACGTCAGAAACCGTTCAATTAAGTAAAAAGAGTGGAGCGCACCTGAATATCTTTTCGCAGTGGTGCTAAATAAAGCTTGCCATCTAAAAGGAGAGTAATGACGTGGTGACTAAGCTTGCTGTAAGTATGATTTTACTCCTATGTTGCATCGATACAGATGTCTCACTTGATATCCATTGCCTCGTTTTGCCGGTCATCATTGGTTGCCCTTTGCATTCAGATCAGTCAAGCGGATTTCAGACACACAGCGAAGGCAATCCATATACCAGTACTGTGCGTTTCCGACATCACTGTGGTATGTTCGACCATGTAAAGTTCTATAACGAAGGATAGTGGATGTCAGAGAAGCACTGGACTCCTGGTCGCTGTTGCCTAAAGCTGAGTCGTTATCCTGCGGGTCGGTATCCTTCATGTGAACACTCTCGTAATTAGCTCACAAGGAGCATGAGGTTGTAAGGTATTCAGGGGAATGTTACAAACCTGCGCCAATGCTGCCCAATTTTCTGGGCCAAGTAATGTTCCGGCCGTGGCCTGCGGAGACAGTGCTTGAGGAACGGCGGCTTCACTCTTGGAAGGGTCAGACATCTTATTCTTAGAGTGCAATACCGTTAATAGATAGTCGTCATGTTTCAACGACAAACTACTGATGGAATAATAAGCACGGCTCGCATGCATATATACTTTCGCAAGCTATACAATCGCAGACAGCCCGAATCACCGCATCATTCTGCATTCATACATGCTCTTCGAAGACCCCAATAGGTGGGTGGGGTTTCTTGCATCACATAAGTTGGCACATTCGCAATTGGGAACTCCAACAGGTTGCATGCGTGGGAAAGACAAGACCTTGCTACTTCAACCACCCTCGACGCGCATTGTCTCCGGGCATTTCCGCCTTAGCCGTGATTACGATATAGGAATAATAAGGTGAAATCTATATTCTTGTCCACAAATTGCGATAAGTCGCCAATGTTGAACAATCCACTGAGGGTTATCTGCTTCCTGAAGTTATGAGCCCCTCATGACATTTTACGCTGATGCAATAATTGAATTCGAGACGGCGGGGTTGGCTTTAAGGGTCGTAATTAAATCAAGCAATTGACAGAGTCGTGCGGTAATAGAGCTTGCCGGCCTCTTTTGCCGCCAAAATCATGTTAAGTGTTTGAAAGAGCGTGACCATATTACAAGTCATTTCTCAGGATGTGCGAATGTTGTGCCAAGCTGGAGATAAAGTTGACAGGCGGAACAGGAAGGTAAAAAGGGTCAGTCATCCATACCAACTTGAAGCGACGCCAAGAGCCGACAAGAACTCCGCTCTGGGTTGCATGACTGGCGAACACGACATAATGCATTGTCGGCTCCACGTGCAGGTCGCGGACGTACGGTAAGGCATCCGTACGTCGCGTGCCGTACAAGAGACCACTTAACATGCATGACATGCAAACGTAGTACTGGTCAACCCTAACGGCTTTCCATACAAAACGAACCTGTTCAATTCAATGAAGCAAAAACTCACAGCAAAATCTTCTATAGAGTCAATGGGGTGTTTCGGAATGACTAACATACTGTTTAACAACTGAGAGCCATCCCAAGTCCGCTGGGCCACCTCCACCGAGCAAAGCACGCTGTTAGTTCTCAGAACCGAAAGAGATCACTTAGTCTGGCCTAATGCCTTGCCAGTTCCTTAGCTCAAACCTGACTTTTCACGGTATATGAAGATATCAACGCACTCATAGAGTGGTTATAGAGGAAGATGGAGGACGCAAGATCTTTATACAATGATTATTCAATCTCTTAGGCAGTGAAATCGATTGCGACGCATGTTGAGCAAAGGAGTCAGATTTTAGGCTTTTATACCGAGCTGATTGGTTTTGGGCTGAAACAGTTAAGAAGAACACTCTAGATATAGCCTAGAGTGAGATCTTGACCTTGCATTTAGGCTGGAGTGAGTGATGTAGTCCAAGTACTTTTCACAATATACCATGATCATGAGAGTGACGATAACATCAATAGCAAATCACGAGACAAGGCTCCTTTTTAGAATGAAACAATTTCGGCACTCATCGTCAAAATGCTATGTTTTGTGACTGAGTGAATGTTGTTTGGTCATTGACAACGCTAGATGTTAGGCTTCGCGTTGTCTCCGCAAACATTTCGTGGCAATGACAGCAAGTACACACTCAGTCATGACTCTTAAAAGATGTCAGTGAGATCATCAGCCTTCCTGATCAAGGTATAAAACATAGCTACACGACCATCTCTGTTGATTCATGAAGTGCAGCGTTTAGGCGTCTTCTTGTATGATCTTGATTTAAATCTTGCCTGATGGGTTACTAGAGATAAGTGCCCAGTGCAGTGATCAATTTTTCAATCTATGAAACACAACATACACGAGTGTAGCCATGTCGTCAAAAGAGGTAATGTGCCTTGCATCCTCAAGCTTTCAGAACTTTACTAACTATTTCTAACCGAGCAAGACTTTTCAAGGCAAACAGCCCCGGGACATGACCGAGGCAGAACAAATTGCGTTCATGGCGCATGCAAAACATCCTCTGTGGTGCGAGTTTCACGTAGTCCTCGGTTGCAAGGCCGTGTTCCGATCCAACAATTTTGATGACTGGATCCTTCACCACTGTAATCATATTGGGGATCCCCTTCCTGCGAGACTGGTGTGCTGGTTCGAAGATGACAAGCCTAACAAACCTAGCGTTTTTCCTGCCGAGCACACATTCGAAGCAGATATCACTGCGAACGGCGACTTGTTCGAGAACTTCAGACTGCGCATGATGCATATTGCTGTCCACCATATCCTTCAACATAAAGGCACGACTTCGCAACGAGCCGACTGGGACATTTTGAAAGCAATGCGGAACAGAGGTCTTCTCACCAAAGAGCAGTGGAACCGCGCAATGGAGTGGGGCTGCGAAGGCCCTAGGCTTCCAGGAGAAGAGGATCAATTTGAACAGGTGCGTAGCGAATCTTCAGAGCGTCAAGAGCTGGTAAAGACCAGTGTAACTAAAGAGGAGCGCCGCGCCAAGCGGGAGCAACGCTCTAAGGAGACCGTTTTTTCTACCAGGTTCGACAACGAAGCTCGCCAGTAGTGAGCTCACTTGCCACAGAGCGGAAAACCTCGACGTACATATGATCGAGCTTTTGCTATAATGTCTTTGCCATAGGCATATCCTAGATCTTGGTGGTTAACTTTAAACTTACATCATTTTGCCGAAACAACCAGCCATAGCCGTACCTAGAATTGCATTAGCAACATTGTTTGAAGTGACAGGAGCAACTCACTTTCGGGTTGTCCCGTAAATCTTGATAAGATAAGATACTAAGTCACGAGATGTAAGAAAAAGGTGGTGATCACTTATGGCAACGGTAAAGTGTTGGTTGCCTAGGAGCTCCAAGCTTTTGACTTCAGATGAGTTTTCACCACGTAGCTCTTCTTCCCCTCAACCACCCATTTCGAAAACAACAACACCCTTCTGGAGACCTTCCTACCAGCAAGAGCAGTATCTCTGGCTTCTTTAAGTAGGGAAAAGTGTCAACTTGGCCATCTGTTTTCTCTTGTCAGACACTCGATAACTCTCTCGCTGGTTACCCGTCTTCTCGCTGACTACGCGTCTCACCAAGCGGACAAGCACCCGCTTGTTCTTGTTGTTTGGGCGGGCTCAGCTACCTAATCACTCCTTAAGTGAGCAATCCGCCCCGTCAACCACGCCCTCTACGCCTCCTTTTTCTTACCAACTGCCTCTTCTTTTTAATTCCGGAGGCGCTATAGTTCTCGATTACTTCGAAGAGACAACCTTTCTTAGTCAATCACTTTGGGGATCTGCCATATAGACCCTTGTCAAACTGAACCTCACTCGTCAACCCATGAATTCGAGAAGATGGATTTACTTCTGGGACTCAATCTCCGCGACTGGGATGCGTCAGTCACGGCCTCAACCAGCTTGAAAGTCGCTGTTCAGACCCGAAAAGCCCCAGAGATACCTACCGTCAATACGGCGAGCCTGCCCAAGCTTAAGAGATATCTATCAAGGGCGCTATCTCAGATGAAAAAGCCATTTGTCAGTCACGGCCGAAAGCTCCAAAAGAAGCAGCCGGGCATCGTGCCCTCATTCATTGAGCCGATCAACCCAGCCGAGACTGCGCATTTCTCGTGAGACTATTCCCTTGTGTTGACTTTAGATTACCATGCTAACTTGATCCCCTTCTTTAGTAACTCGAGCCCCATTCATGACTCTGGCACTACATCCATGCCAAATAACGCACTCAACCCATCTTCCCAGAAGAACAGCCACGTCCCTAGCAATGCTACAGACGAACAACCAACCCCCACTACGAAGGGCCCAGCGAGCCAGGACTCAAGTGTCCATTCAATGTCTCACGTATCTATTCGTGGTTCATCTATTGCTCAGCCGATCGCACCAAAGCCTGCAATGGAGAAGGAGATGGACCATTTCGCTGGGGAACAGGCATCCTCGCTGCCAACATCTGATGATCTCACCGAAACGATTGCCAACTGCGTCAAAGAGTCCGCCACATTCTCGAAAGATATGACCGACTTTGTACCACAGATCTCTGATAGAGACAAGTGTGCTACTCTCTCAACTAAGTCTACAACTACCGAGTTATCAGCCAGCCTACATCAATCTAATGAAGCCCTTGAAGGTCCGCCGAAACTCAAGGGATCTTTTGCGGAGAATCCTCTTACCTTTAACGTTGAGCCGGTTCCTGAGTCGCGCCAATCGTCTATAACGTCTTCGATTTCTGAAGATTCTCATCTCACCAGTAATGAGAGCGACGAGACCAGCGTCAAGTCAGCCCCGGTTCCTGACGATGCTCAACTCCCCAACATACGCCAAGACGGAATCTCTCCTACAGTCTCGGAAATATCCCTAACACCTACAGAAGATGTCTCAACATCCGAGCATGAACAGCTGACACCTTTCGACAATGCACGACCCCCGATGATTGAGGCCGATGAAGCTCCTGAACATCGTATCTCTAATACCAATGAGGAACTGCCCTTATTGCAATCAAACAGCCCCGAGAGCCAGAATCAAGATTTTGACATGATGGTGGATCATGGTGACATTGATCCAGCATCTATTGATGACCTCTTCTTCGACGACTTCGTACCACGCGTCCGAGTGCCGGAAGTTAGTGAAGTGACCCAGGGAGATCAAATCAGCGCTCCAGGCTTGGAAACACCAGGCGTTCTTTCACCACAGGCCGACGACCAAGGAAACACTGACGATGGCTCGGCAGAGGCCGATGCTGCAGCACTTGAACTCGAAGCCGATAACATTGAACGGCGTCATGGCCCCATGATGTTTCTCTACGACGACTACGGATATCCATACTGCTACTACCCGGACACTGCGTTTTGTGTGCCGCACCCTGTACCAGAGGATTTTGGCTACAGTAATGTAGCTGAGGACAGCCCGGTTGATGAGATTCAAGCTACTCAAGCGATGAACGACGAAGGTGTTAGCAGAGACTCAACGGAATAGGGTTCCGAGGAACATGCTGGATACCACACTGAAGGAATTGTTGACGAAAGCCAGTCGGCCGCACCTGTTAGCGACATGTCTGATGGCTCAAGCGAAGTTGATGATCAAGCCGCGATCGCTGATACTGGCAACGCAGATACAAACCGCAACACAATTGATGAGCAGAACCAGGAAGCTAGTGGAACGGGTAACGAGGGTCACGAAGTTGAGGAATACCAAATAGTGCTTCCAACTTACCTTGAGCGTTTTGCCAATCAGCGAGGTTATTTCGCCCACGGCGGCCTTGTCACTGAACGGGTCCCCAAGAGCTTGATCCGCAAATCAGTACCCATCACCCCTCCACTTTGGTATGGGTCGTCGCCACTACGCTTCGTATGGAACGCACGTGATATCCCCGACCCGAAGGAGCAGAATCCAACCTTAGAGGCAGATCTTCAACCAGACGATCTAGATGGGTCGAGCGTCGGCGGCGAAGAGGAGCATGGCTTTCAAGGGCCAGGACTGAGAACTCATCTTGAATATGACGATGCCAATGAAGATACGAGTGGCGATGCCAGTGAAGATGGGAGTGGCGATGCCAGTGAAGATGGGAGTGAAGATG